GGCATCGTGGGATCAAGCGGCGTTCTGATCGCAACCTCCATTGTTGATAGTGCAACTGTCTGGAATGATAGAAATGCCATGGAAATGCTTCTGATTCCATTCGAAATTATCATACCTTTGCAGACAACGTTGGATCCGCTACCAGTGTTGGTGTACCCAGTTTTACAGGTGCATCGTACTGCATGTGTCGAGGGATCGTGGGAGCAAGCGGCGTTTAGATCGCAACCTCCATTGTTGATAGTGCAACTGTCTGGAATGATAGAAATGTCGTGAGAATGCTTCTGATTCCATCGGAAATCATCATACCTGTGCAGACAACATTGGATCCGCTACCAGTGTTGGTGTAACCAGTTTTGCAGATGCATTTCGTTGCGAATGTATTTGCGTCTTCTGAGCAAACAGCATTTGGATCACACCCACCGTTATTGTCACTGCAGCCGGCTAAAACAGAGTAATAGTTTTCAGGATGTTGGTGTGAGTGGCTGTGCGGATGTCGATGTGAGCATGGCTGGTATCGTTCTCTGCTCTTCGACACTCACACGTAGTGAATGACAAGCATTGGAGGATAAGGCAATTTCTGAGGAGTCGGTGTTGCTTGTAATTCTCAAGAGGCCCTGTTGGTCTGAATTGCTGAGATTCGAGAAATTCGATAGGATTACTTCTGTGTGCGGGACTGGTTTCGCAATGTTCAATATCGCCCGAAAGGCCGTAGTCTCGCTAGATATAAGGTGATATTGTTTGCCACAAAATTCGTAGTCGCATCATTAGAAAGAAAGTGGCAAGCAAAACCTATGTTACTGTATGTATCGATTGCACAAGTGTCATTCGTAAATGTGGAAACCAAATGGAATTGATGATTCGTGATGAGGCTACAGGTTGGGAGGGCTAAGATTGAAATCATTGTAGTATATTTCGCTTGCAAAAGTTAACAACATCATAAACTGAAGCAGCGGTATCAACATGTGCTTGGTTTTTTCCTCTCAATCGTACGGAATTGAATTTCGTTGAAAAATTCATCCGAAAAGGAAAGGGAAAGCATTTTTGAGATTGTATCAACAAATGTGATTGTTGAACTTTATATCATCAACTCGGGCTGTCTTAGATGAGATAAAAGTGCCGCAAAGCTATAACAAAAGTGAAAGAACTGGGCGACAGTTCTTATTTTGTTTAGGAAACAAATTGAATCGTCTGGATCAACCAATCTCTTAGAAGTGTTGCTGCCACAACATATGTCTTCATTATACACCAGAATAACAAAGGTCTGTAAGATTTAATCTATAAACTTACTGTGTGCAAACCGGTACTGGTACATATGATCGCACAACACTTCGGCGCGTTCATTTCGTCGCAGAACGAGTTTCTTTTGTTCTGTTCATCTCCGTATACTTGGCATCTCTCTCCCTCTCTTAGTAAATTCTGTTTTTTTCATAACCAATGGAAATAACATAAAATAAATAAAGAATTATGAGAGATATGTACAGTAGTGATAGATATTTAGTTGAAAAACCGGATCAACAAAAAGTATTGTTGTAATGTAGCCATGATAGAGCTAAAGCTAATCAAAAATAATTAGATTTGTAACTCGGTTAATGATTTTCAACATAATCTCAACTAACGATAACACTAATCCAGTGTCCTCAATTATGGGACCAAGTAAAATAAAAATGAAAAACATTTCACTTTTCAATTTCAATGTTTACTGCACAATGCTTTTCAAGAAAAATGTCTCAAATCGAGCAATTCTCTTCTGTAAAAAGAACAACAATGATTCTTCATGAAGGTTATATCTATACACTGTAAAAAAAATCCGTAGAATACTAAACTCAAAAAGGGTGGATGAAAGTGCAACGTATTATAAACCCTTTTTCCGTTTTTGAAAATTTTCATAAACCCTAATGGGTATTTTCCGCATAATCATAAACCCTTCAAGGGTTTATGAAAATTTTCAAAAACGGAAAAAATGTTTATTATACGTTGCACTTTCATCAACCCTTAAGGGTTTAGTATTCTACGAATTTTTTTTACAGTGTACTATAGAACGTACAATAAAGGCGAGATCAATCTTTCAATGTAAGAATCGAGATTGTAAAGGTAAGTACGCTTTGAACGTCAATCAAATAATTCAAATGAAAATCATTTATCAATTATGCTCGATATCATACCAGTCTATCCATGGACGCATTTCTCTCACTGCCAACATCACATTGTCATGCTCGGCAACCTGATAGCGTTCCAGCTATCCATTTAAAAAACGAAATTAAACTTCGTACTGCAACAACAGAAGAATCAACCAGTGCAATTATTCATTCGGTCTTACGTATTTATCCACTCAGTGCTGTTGGTCAACTTCCAAAAAATAAATCACTTATGCTAATGATTCAATGACAACGTACTACTGAAACAGTTGATGCCGATGGTCGTTTACCAGCAAAATTGAGAAAAACATATCGTGACGAAGGCTTCATCTTGCACGAAGACAAAAAATTAAATATATTTACAAAGAAAACTAATTTATCTATTCTGAAGCAAAACAAGCATTCGTTCGCTAATGACACGTTCAAAGTAAATTATTAGTCAAATTTATCCTTTCTTTTCCAATTTTCTTTCATGTAGGTGTGTCCCGACGATGATCTTGGTGGAAATTGTCGAAAGGGGAAAATATCGAAAGCATGATTGGCAAAAAGAAAAAGAGAAGTTTATAGAAAAAAGAAAAATATTGGCTAGTGTAGAAGATGGCAGTGTAGAAAAATTCCAGTAATTTCGTTTGCATTGGTAATTCGCTGACCAATATATTTTATTTTTCAATGAACCAATACAAGTTCTTAATAGTAAATAAAACATATCCTAAGCATGGATGCACCTATAGTCTTTGAAGGTCTTTATTAAAGAGTGAGCAAGTTGAGATTTCATTTGTTACCTCGAATAAAGGGAATCCATTAATTCTATGTGATAATTACTTATTTCGATGCAATAAAACAACAGTCCAGAAAAAATATTGGATGTGTACTGAAAAAGGTTGTAGTGTATCTGTGCATACAACTCTTAACAAGGAATTGATATGTTTAAATGGTGTTCATAATCATCTTTCAAGTCCAGAACAACTAGAAGCTAAACTTGTACGAAACAAAATGAAAAAGCGAATATTAACTGAAACTATACCCATTACAAAAATCTATGATGAAGAAATAGTGAAAGCGAAGCTTTCAAAATCAGCAGCAGCAATTTTGCCAACTGTTATCGAATATCGTATGTAAAACAAGTACATTTGTAACATCATCTATTTTTATGAGTTGTTTTTACTATTAAGGATCTAATATGAGTAAAACACGTCGAAAAATCACATCTGTTATACCATCAACTGTTATGATCGAAATTCCAGAGTTATATCAACAAACACTTTCAAATGAACGATTTTTAACAATTGATTTGTTTCTTAAACGTGGTCAAGATAGAATTCTTGTCTTTGCAAGTAATCAACAATTAGAATTATTATTTGAAGTGATACAATTTTTATGGGCGGCACATTTGATGCATCACCCGAAAATTTCAAACAAGTGTACTTGATACATGTTCATAAATATGGCCAAGGTATGTAAGAAATTATTTATAATATCTTGAATTCTTATAATTGTAGTTTTGTATGGAAGATTTACGAGTTGCTTTTTGTGTTTTACCAAATAAACGTGGAAAAACGTATACTGCACTTATGGAACAATTAAAAGAACAAGTTAATATTGTGGGAAAACAATTTAATCCAAAACGGTTTGTAACTGATTATGAACCTGGTTTAATGCCTATACTTGAGCAAGAAGTAAGTATTTTATATTTAGAAATTCCGTTTAGTACGTTTAAAACTACCTCGTTTTTGCTAGTTTCCTAAAGCACTTCACTCCGATTGTATGTTTCATTTCAATCAAGTAATTCATCGAAAAATTACAGCTTTTGGTTTATCGAGTGATTATTTACACAATGAAAGTATTCGTGATCAATGTCGCCAGCTAATGGCTTCAAGTCTCACTCCGATCGATGAAGTGAAGAATCAATTTAAACGTTTACAAACAATCATGTCAACATTATTAGGTGATTTACTACTTTACTTCAAGCACCAGTGGATGTATGGTGTTGTTCCTATTGAAATGTGGAATTTTCATAATGTTGATCATCGAACTAATAATACATCAGAAAGTAAGAATACTCGTCTTTTCCATTTTTTTCAAATCATAGTCGAGAATTATTTGTATATTTTAGCTTATAATCTTCGTTTCGCAACTCGATTGTCTAGAAAACATCCAAATGTTTGGAGTTTTATACAATTAATTCAATGTGAACATGTTCGTTTTGAACATACACTGATACAACGTGATGCTGGAGCATCTATCCCAAAACAGTCAAAAAAAAAAACAAAAGCTTTTCAAATGAAATTCAATAACCTTAAAGAAAGATTTCTGAAGAAAGAACTGAATTGTAATCAATTAGTAACGGGTGTATCATTGCTAATTGGAAACAAAAAAAACAGTATCAGCCTTACTACATATCATCGTCATTTTATTTTTCACTAATAAAACATAGCACATAATATACGTATAAAGAATATGATAATCATTTCTGTTTCTCTCTTTCTATTTCTTTCGACATTTTCCTCTTTCAAAAGTTTTTGGCATTTTCCCCTTTCGACATTTTCCACTAACCCCCCGACGATTATTGCCAACTCTTCGCATTACATGCGATGATGACCAATACAACTATTCCTCTCGTCTATGGGTTATTAATTGGTAAAAGCGCTGAAGATTATAATTTATTCTTCGAAAAAGTGTTAGAACAAGACAATTTTCAACCTGAATCAATCATGACTGATTTCAAAACTGGCACAATCAAATCAGTCACAGATATGTTGCCAAATATTTTACACAAAGGTACGTTCTAGTTTATGAAAAAAATTAACTGGAACTTTTTTTTATAGGATGTCTCTTTCATTTTTCACAAGCGGTATGGCGACAAGTTCAAAGCAAAGGATTAACAACCAAATATAATGAGGATGATTTTTTTCGTTTAAATATAAAACAATTAATTTCTCTTGCTTTTGCTTTTCACTAGATCAAATTATAACTGGCTTCGACTTAATTTGTGATCAATTCGATGATGACATCAACGATTTACTCGAATATTTTGAAAAAAACATGAATTGATGAACCGAAAAGAAGAGGTAATTTTTTTCTCTATTTTTAAGAAATTTCAAATATACTCGTCTTTCTGAGAAACTGGTCGGAAGAAGTCTGAATTCGATCATAAATTATGGAATATTCATGATCGTGTCGTCGCTAATCGCGTTGCAATAAATCATCCAACTATCGTGAAACTGGGAGAGAAAATTCGTCGTGAACAATCAAAATTTGAAGTGGACATGACGAAGATTCTTCAAGGTCACGATATCAAGACGAAGAAAGCCTGCTATCGAAAATTGAACGAGCGTATTACCCGACTGGTCAACTCATTCGACCCAACTCAACTGGATCAATTCTTAAAAAATAGGGCAGCTAACATTACTCTTTAGATATTTTTATTTCTTTAAATTACTTTCTTTCTTTAAATTATTGTTTTTCTTTCGATTATTTTCTTTTCTCCCTACTTTTCTCAATTTGCTCATTATTATATTATATATTATGCACAAAATAAACAAATCTAACTCACACCCACACCCACACCCAAAATAATGACAGATATGGTAGAACATTTTTAATGTTCCTACATTTTTTCATTACTGTCTTCCCTTCAAGACTCTGACGTGGGCTTCCATAGGTTTAGATGTTCAAAAATGTAAGTAAATACATATCATAATAAATTTCGTACACTAGCCGCCGGTCGACAACGAAATGTCAAATAGTTATTAAGAGCTTCAAAAACATATAAATTCTCAATTGAAAGAGCAAATAAAGCTGAACTTACTATCAAGCAATATTCAGTCTACTCTAAAAGAAAAACTGATTGCTGCTGGCTGTTAACAGGAAAGTTGAAAATATCATTTTGAGAAAAGAAATTCGCTTATTAAAGACAACTATATAGATCGACCCACACTAATATTGTCCTAGCACAAAAATATTCATCACACATTCAATCATTGTGTGATACTTCTAAGAATGCTGGGAGTTAGTTTACTGAACACCGATAGGCTCAGTGTCACTGAGCGCTAGAATATTGAATCACCCGACATCTTCAAACTAGTGAAGTGTGGAGCCCTAACTTCAGTGACATTGACTTGCTTCCAGTTGGCTATGATTCATGAGACCACCATCATGACCATATCCACGTAAAATATTATAATACATCGGCTACTCTCTTCCGATCAGTGGCTTCAAAAACTCAATACTTCCTCGTTTGTACTTATTGCATTTCTTACACCAACTCAACTAAGCGTTGAACTCTAACGACGCCGTACCAAACAATTATTTCTATATCAATATATAATTGAGACTGCATCCTAACTGCAACAGAAATAGATCGACAATGCTTTACTGCAGAGTAGATGAATAATTCATTTTGATTTTAAAAATAATTAAGCCCACTCTTTTCTTACTACGTTCAACTACAGTAACTAATCTCATTTATTTGATAAGTGCACCTGCGAAAGCTCAGGAGGAACATTCCGTGTAGCGCATCGCCAACATCCATTCAATCTCTAAACGAACGACGCGAAAAGCTGAAAAAACCAGTCGACTTTTTAACACATTTCCTTTAAAACTAACTCCTACCGAATAAATTACGCATGACCATTCAGCGCAACAAGTTACCGATAATTCTACAAATATTCAACTCCGATATTACTCTCCGCACATTATTCTGCAAAAAACGAGTCCGCTACAATACAAAACGTTAACCACCAATTTGATGCAATTCATTCCGACGGGCTACCAAAATAATATTTTGGCAGCAACTTGAATACCACATCATCCTATTTTTCCTGTTCCAAACCGTCTTCTTTTCGGAAATCTACCACCAACCTAACTATGTTCACGCAACTCACCAGATGATTTTACAGCACTTCCACCTGATCCAGACTTCGTTGTAGCTCCAGTAGGTGTGGCAGCATTGGTTCCAGCTCCAGTTGGCGTGGCAGCCTTCGTCGATTCACCATTGGGACCACCCACAACAAACGTAACTTCACCATCTTTTGGTTCTTTGTCTGCTGGACGCTTTTTGTGGGATCCATCCCGTTTTCCCTCACCATGTTTTGCTTCTTTCTCTACTGGACGCTTCTTGTGGCATCTATTCGGTTTCGCTTCAACATGTTTTGCTTCTTTCTCTGCTGGACGCTTTTCGTGGGATCCATCCCGTTTTCCTTCACCATGTTTTGCTTCTTTGTCTGCTGGATGTTTGTGAGTATTTTCAGCCGATGCAGATCCACCTTGTTTCGGTGCTCTGAATGCTGGCCGCAGTGCATCTAAAAGGTGATTATGGAGGAATATACAATTTGTATGGCGTTCGTAAGGGTTTGATGACGCTGGTTTTGTGGTGCGACTGTTCTTAGGTCTCTTCAGGCTCTAGCCCCACGCAGTATATTTTTTAAACTATCTCTTTTTCTTATAACGGTGGTCAGTGGTAGCTTTTATATAGGCTTTCGATTGATTGATAAGTCCCTATCAATTTTAGATTACGTTGAAATTAATTAAGTAAATCGATAAATTGATTGATGGTGATTCCGTTAGAAGGAGCAGTCATTCAATTCCGCAATGTTGAACATTCCGGAACCAGTTCCGCCCCCGGAATCAGTTCCGTCGATTCCGGAATTAGGTCAAATAAGAACACTGTCCGATTCCGGAATTGGTTCATCCGATTCCGGAATCGGTTCATCTGATTCCGGAATTAGTTCGTCCCATTCCCGGAATTCCACGGAATTCAGTCCAATTCCAGAATTAGCTCAATACGGAATCGGTGGGAATTAGACGGAATTCCTAGGTATTCCGTGTGATTCCGATCAATTCCTGTTCGACCTAATTCCCGGAATTCCGTACCGGAATTGCATGGTGTGGGTGTCAGTGTTGGTGTAAGTGCGCTGAATTCCGGAACCGTTGGGAATTAGGCGGAATCCGCTTGAATTCCGTGTAATTCCGGAATTGAATCGGAATCGATAAACGGAATTCCGCGAATTAGATGGATTTTGTCGGCAGTGATTCCTGGAATTCCGGGATTGAATTGGAATGGTTAAGCGGAATTCCGGGAATTAGATGGAATTAGTTCCGTGAGCGGAACTGGTTCCGGAATGTTCAACATTGCGGAATAAGATGTATTCTCGTTAGAAGTAATAATATATTGAATTTAAAGACAGAATATTTTTTAATTCATATATTTGATTGATTTAAAAGATGTTGAATCACAGAATTAGATTAAACAATTTTTTAAAGGGATTCTTTCAACAGAACAGATACTACTGTATGAAGTTAGGCAATATTGGTGTAATTTAGATATGGATTGCTATATTTTTAGATATTACATGATATGCATGCCTTTATGGATGACCGTATCAGATAGATGCACGAACCTCTCATAGATCATAACAGATGACTTCAAGAGGCTGTCAAAGCGGAGACTAGACAAGTACAAGTGAAAATACTTGTTTCTGTCGAATTGTACTTTGTAATTTTACTCAAGTACAATTGCTTATGCACATTTGTCCGGAGTATCGGTACTTGAGTGCAAATGTACTCAAGTACAATTACGAAGTACACTTGAAACCTTTATGTGATCATCAATACATCTGTACTTGATGCTTGTACTTAAGTAAATTTGTAGTAAGTATCGGTACTTAAGTACATTCGAGAAGTACAAGTAAATTTACTTGTACTGCTAAAGTATACTTTGTACTTGGGATTTTTAAGTAAAAATTACGACAATACTAAGTAATTGTACTTAGTATCCAGTCTCTGTGTCAAAGATCATGTATGAGCAACAACTGACTGGAATATATTAAAATTATAGGCTGCAAAATTAGCTGTGATGTAGAGATATGTTCTAATATGCATAAAAAATGAAGTTGTTAGATAATTAGCAACAACAGTTCGTGTTTCACATTTTTAATTCCACAGGGATTGCTCTAACAGCTTTTCTTATATACTATTGCATTCAATGTAAGCTTTTGACTTGCGTTTCTCATGAAATTATTTCAATGTTGAGTTTTAGAATATAGGAATAAAAATCGGAAGTTCCTTTTTTAACAAAAGTGCTTCTATAACTATTATTGTAATAGGCAGAGATAAACTAGTGAATTTCAATATAGTATAAGTATTTGCCTGAAGTAAATGATAAAAAACAATCATAAACTGGCTTCGTATTCATTGAACGAGTTATTTATACAACAGCAAGCTTCTGAAGAGAGAAAATTTAATCGATAGTAGGGTTGCTGAATTTTAATTTAAAAGAATTTATTTAATCGAGAAAGAAACCAACCGTAAATTGACATCTCTAATCAACAGTTACTCTGATATAAAATTACTAAATGAAAAAATGATTCAAGATGTTTCTGATTCCATGAGTACTGGAATTACAGATATAATAAAGAACTAATTGAACTTACCAGGCCGGTTTCTATTCTGTTGACTTGTTTCGCCTGCTTCAGATGCAACAACAATTGTCGTCACAGCAATAGCATTCTTGAAATCATCTGTTTGAACAGCATTATTTAATGCCATTTTTGCTGTCTCTGTATCAGACACAGCTGTACATCGATAATCGAGAGCAAGTGTACCATCAGACAGCTGTCTGATAGTATCCACCTGAACTTGTGAATTAGCATTTGTAGTCTTTGCTTGAATTGCATGTGCCAAAGTTTGAGACAATGCAGCTGTCGATTTCGTAAGAGACTGAATGTCACAATTTGACACAATAATTGTACCTTTCAATGAGTTTTCAGTATCAGCCACCACCGTATGCGCATCGATTGCTGCACAATTAGCTGGCACAGCTGAAATAATAACGAATAGTTTATAAAATAAGGGTTAATTAAAAAAATAGACTTTGCTGGTTTTTTTTAGTCTTATGATACTAAAAAATAGGCATAACAATTATTCTAAAGGAGCATTCAATAGATACATTTCTTTATCTCGATAGACTACTCATATCAATAAAATCGATGTGAAAAATTGATCCGTCCTACGGATTGAGATCACTTATACGTATGATACAGCTTCTACAATAGATATATCTGGTGCCAATTGCTGATCAATTTAATGATCTAAACCTGTCTCATTATTCTATTTTACCTTTTTTATGATCGAAACTGATAAAGCGTTTTTTCAGTTACCGTTGACACCGTACACAATATATTACGAAATTTTTGTTTTCTTATTTCTTGACAATAAACTTAAACAAAATTTTCTGACATGCATGATTTTGAATAGTTCAATTTAAAAGAACTAGATCAGTTACAGATACGACTAAGATAACTGAACGATCTCTATCAAATGATACTTGTTTCTGTTGAATAAACAGTAAATTTAATAGGTAAAAATCCTTGGAAAACACATAGTTAGGTTTTGAGAAAATAACGTCACTAATGATTTACTTAACTACTTTAACTGCTCCTGAAATTTAAATCTATGGAACTATTTATATTGCAATTCATTGAGAAAAATTTCTTAATTAAGGAAAATTTTTAAATTGCCTCTGATGGATGTTACTTGTCTTTTTATTTCGATCAAATTTACAGCTTAGCGAATTTAATATAAACGGATATTTTTCTCAACTCATTCTTTGGTAGAAATTTTATGTTTTTTTTTTATTAAATATGGTATACAAATGTAGATGATATAAGGCAAATGAACTTTCGACCATGAAATGGTCTTCGTCAAAATTTAAATTATTGTTTTTGAAATACAATGCTAAGTTTGAAATCTATCTTTAACCTGATTTTTCAATATAAGTGTATATCAAAATGTTGAACATCTTGGAAATATGCTTTATTCCATTTTATTGATCAGCCACGCTAGCACCATATGTGTAATTATGATAGTTAAGAAAATTGGAGCTGCATGTTATCAGTAAATCTACTAATGACTGTAATTCATGCAGATAGTAAAGCAACAACTATTACTCATCGATCATCGCACTAAAACATTTGTCTCCTTCAGTCAAAACATCGATATATATTTACTATGATTCATGCTCGTTGACTTTCATTAAAAAATATTCAACGCAATGCGTAAATGAGCTCGGTATCGTGCATGCGATCTAATATTTACTTCTATCGACTCAGTCAATCAAGTAAATAAACTTCTTACCTTTTTTACAGTAATATTGATTATTTCTCAATATTTTACGATCTACCGCTCTTTAATTTAGCAGTGCATCCTCTTAGTAGACATATCCATGATAAGAGTTAACATCTGTTTTTCTCAGCTCTAATAGGGGCCTATCAAATTAACGGTGGCCATTCGCGGATGCATTTTCAATTAGGAGAAGAAAGAATGAAGCCCGGATCTGTCAGTTCTGACTTGCTATCATTCTAGTCTTTTTTTCAAAAAATATAACTTGAGTTTCTCAGAGTAAAAACGAGACAGTAAAACAACAAACTAGATCCATAGTTACACTTACATTTTGCTTCTTTCTTTTTCACTTAGAAGTATTGTGGAAAAGCATTTTACCAGCGTAGCTCCTTTTGGACTAAAATGTGTGGCAGTTACACATCTAACTTTGGTTCACTAAGCTAATGGCAAATAGCTTAATTGAAAACTCTTTCGTCAATATGTAACTTATTTTTAAGATCTGTAATGAGATTATTATTTATTGGTTTCTGTCATTGATGGAAAATGAATGGTTGCTAGTGTCTGTGATGAAAAAATCTGTCTTTGTTTCAAAAATGACTTGACTTGACCTCCACATCTCTGACTGAAATAATTATTGTATCTTAGCTGGGCGGGAGGGGGGGAGCAAACTACGAAATTCTCATTTTTAAACTGATGCCCACCGCTTTATTCGAAAGTACATAGCATGTATTGTAAAAAAAACTGTGACAATTCTATAGTAATCGGCACTTTTTTTGTGCCATGCAATGGATTTTGAACTCAGAACAAAATTAATATGAACTGATCAATATTGAATGATAATATCGATTAAAATTCCGCTCAATTTCAGGGAAAAGAAACAAGCTGAATTGTATGCGAAACTGTCTATATGAGCCATAAACAAACTTGTTCGATGTTCTTCACTAGGTTTCGCTTCATTCATATAATTGAACAATAATATCAAAAATACACGAAAAAATGGTCACTTTTCGATAGTTTTTCAAGATATGTATTTTGATGAAAACATTGTTAGAGGGGTTGAAGTTTTCACTGTAGAAAGATTTCATTGAGTAGGTAATTTCGATGGCTCATTACACTAAGGATACACGTATAAAAAGTTATAGAAGAGTTAGAGTGATGTCTTATTGAAAAATGCAGAAAAAGAATCCTGTTTTCAAAGGAAATAAAGTGCAGCTAGTTGAAAATTTCATATAAAATTTTTATCAACTCCAATAAAATCTATCCGATTCAAATCAAAGCTCAATCTACGGTAACGTTCATTAGAAACTGCTTCCACAATCAATAGAAGAATTCTTTTGGGAAAAGGGCTCAGTTTCTAATGAAAGTTATCGTAGATCGAGCTTTGATTTGAATTGGATAGATTTTATTGGAGTTGATAAAAATTTTATATGAAATTTTCAACTAGCTGCACTTTACTTCCTTTGAAAACAGGATTCTTTTTCTGCATTTTTCAATAAGGCATCACTCTAACTCTTCTATAACTTTTTATACGTGTATCCTTAGCGTAATGAGCCATTGAAAGTGCCTACTCAACGATATCTTTCTACAGTGAAAACTTCAACCCCTCTAACAATGTTTTCATCAAAATACATATCTTGAGAAACTATCGAAAAGTAACCATTTCTTCGTGTATTTTTGATATTATTGTTCAATTATATGAATAAAGTAACATGTATCGATTATAATTGAAAACGTTCGTTGCTGACTTATGCAGACTATCTCATAGGACGATATCACTAAGCTTTTCATTTTTTTATCAATTTATTTCAGGCCGACAATTTTTGATAAAAAAAGAAAAAGTCAATCGAATTACCATCGTATTTTATGTATCTGGCCGCTATTCACGTATTCGAGATATAGGGTTCACCTTTCCTTCTTGATTACTCTACATCTTCAGCAATTCAAGAATATTCATAGCATGAATAATTCTTATGTCAGGTATTCTGACTTTATACCAGATACTATATTGCTAAAAACACTCAAGCTCCATAAACAGGGAAAATATAATATTATTTATTAATGAATACATGTGAAAACTCCCTTGCTCCAGTAGCGAAACCATTGGTACAGGAAGTAATATATAGTATTACAATAACCATGGTATATATATATTCGAAAATTGTGATGCGTGATAATTTAATAGCGAAACTTTTACTGTTACATCCTT